GACATAAATATTTTATATCAACATTATTCTAACAAAATATTCTAAAATTTGTATAAAAGATCTATCTACAGAATTTTATAAAATCTGTCAAAATGGTAATTTTTTGGAAACTGTCCTTTTTATAGAGGAGAGGTGTGATATCTTTCAAACAAAAGAAAGTAAATCAACAATGGAACTCCATCTCTATTCAGAGAGCTTAAAAAATACAAATTTATTTTCTCACAAGGAGTTTCTTTTTATTACAAAACGCTAGCTTTCAAGTGATAATCGCTCTTCAACAGGCTTAATAAAACATCGACTATATCTTACAATAAATATTTACAAACACAGTAGAACCTCCCTGTAAAGATCACCTAGTTACAGAGCCAAAGTGTCCTTTAGGGAGAGATGTCCTCTTACCAGAGAGTTGCTAAATAGTAAAATGGTAATTTTAACAATGAAAACTGTCCTTTGTAGAGGTGTGCACTAGTGAGGTGTCCTCTAAAAGGAGGTTCTACTGTAAATACGTGCACAGTTGTAAATATCCAGATTGAGATTTTAAACCCACACTGTGCGTGTATATATTTATAAATATTTCTTGTAAGATATAGTCAATGTTGTTTTATTAAGCCCGTTGAAGAGCGATTATCACTTGAAAGCTTGCACTTATATATAAAAAGAAATTCCTTGTAAGAAAATAGTTTTGTATATTTCAAATGTTTTACACAATTTATCTTGAATGAAAATTCAGAGAGTTAAGATCAAGTTACTCACAGGAATCCCCTTGTAGAAGATGAGGTGACTTTCACCTTCTGTGGGGTTGATTCTTTCAATGAACTTGGTCCTGGACAAACACATGGTTGTAAGTGTTCTTTGGCACAATGATTGGAAGTAATAGAAAATATTAATGCACATGTTTTTTTATTTTTAGTATACAGTAGAACCTCCCTTTAGTGGACACCTCTCTACAAAGGACAGTTTTCATTTGCTAAATTACAATTTTTACTATTTAGCAACTCTCTGGTAAGAAGACACTTCTACTTAAAGGACACTTTGAGCTCTGCAATTAGGTGTTGTCCTTTACAGGGAGGTTCTACTGTATACTTTATAGAGAGGTGTTCTATAACGGGAGTGTCCTCTCACGGAGGTTCTACTGTATTATAGAAATTGCGGAGACTTAATATTAAGTAATGGTAAATTTTAGCTTTGTAAAAATAGATTATTATATCAAAGGTATTCAAGCGTGCTTAATTATTCTTGACATTTTCCATTCACACCATGTTTGACAAGTCAATAAGTTTTAAGTAAAAAAAAAAAAATAAAAACACAAGTATTGGATGAGGAAATGATATAAAAAGATAACATGATTAATATTTAATTTTTTAAAATTCATTTACAAAAAGTAATAAGACCAAATCCAAATAAATAAATAGTGTATGACATTTCAGTAACAGCATTGTTACCATCTTTAGACAAAGGTAACAATGCTGTTACTGAAACGTCACATACTATTTATTTATTTGGATTTGGTCTTATTACTTTGTGTTTATAACCCAAATTGTGTCTTATAATTTTTATTTATTTGAAATTGCTCTTGTGTGTTACATTTTTGGTTAAAATAATATATATATATATTATTAAAAAAGAAACATACTCAAGGTATTTAGATTCTGAAGTTTCATTAAATGCAGCCATACATCACAAGAGGACTAGAAACTAATAAAACTAACTTGTTCAAAGTACCAAAAGTGGAAGGGGTCAGTGGAAGGGTGATCTAGACTGTTGGTTTTTGACTGCTACGGCCTGGGATCGAATCCCGCATTGGGCACTTTTTTTCTAATAATAATTTTTTTTTTTAATGCTCCAATGTGGCCCTCTATTCTTGCAAAAGTCCAACCCCACCAGCGAGTGCAAGTAAACAAACGGGACTCAGGCACATTTTAAGTGCAAAAAGTAAAACTTCTTTTCACTGTGTAGAGATGTGAAACGAACCATGATTATCATGGCCTGTATCACATGTACTAGGAAACAAAAAAGTGGGAATACCATAAATAACTTGAGCTTACCTGCTAATAGGGTCCCTGAAGTACAAGATAGTCCAGATACAGAGTCCGGAAACCACAGCAGTCCCTACAAGTCCGAGTAGGATGTAGAGCAGAGTGAGATAGATAGAGCTGGACTGGAGTTCCTCAGGAATGGAGGTAGAGGTAGGATGGTCCGGCTGAGGGGAAGTGTACCAGGTAGTTGGCTTCACCACAGTGGTGGAGCCTGGGTCCGTCATGTTGCTGGAACATTTAAATTGTTGTCCACTATATGTTGGCCTATTGTTTACTATTGGGTGTAATGGACAGTTTGGCTTGTGGACCTTTGGAGCTCCATATATATTGGGAACATGTGCATCATCATTTTTTAACTTGGTTAAAACCTGTATTTAATATAATTGATGAGGCACAATTTGGATTGTAGATTATAAACACAAGGTAATAAGACCAAATCCAAATAAATAAATAGTGTGTGACGTTTCAATAACAACGCTGTTACCGAAACGTCACACACTATTTATTTATTTGGATTTGGTCTTATTACCTTGTGTGTATTTAATATACAGTTAAACCTGTCTATAGCGCCCCCTCTTGGGACTCACCAAAATAGGGTGCTATAGAGAGGGAGTGCTAAAGACAGGTCACTTTTATTGTAAATCGCATCGTACTACGTATTTAAAATCTGGCGCTATAGAGAGGGAGGCGCTATTTAGAAGGGGAGCTATAGACAGATTTAACTGTATTTGTGTTTTCTCCAGTTTTTAAGTATGGTATTCAATTTATTTTTGAAGTTGTTTGTTAGATCATTTTGTATAGGAGAATAGGTGCCATTGTTATTCAATAAAGAAAGCATTTTTTGTTTATAGTCTTCTTTTTTAATTAAAACTATTCCATTTCCTTTGTCATATTTTGTTTGTAGGTTCTTAAGTTTGGCGGCCAATTTTTTGTTTATATTATTTGATTTATAATTTTGTTTAAGTGTATTAGTGACTTCAAATCTTATATTTGTTGCTTCATTAGGGTTAGGAATTTTGCATATTTCTTCTATTTTATCAACACTTAAAAGGCATAAAACGCTGGCGAAATTGCTGAGAGGGTTCACCACTGATAAGCCAGGTTGTCCCATTAATTTCTCATTGCAATAAGGACAGTAGAAATTGTTTATTTTAAAAATAATCATACATGTCTATAATAGTTTTGAATTCTTAGAACAGATTGCACGCTCTAATATATATGCATATAAAAAAACATAATTTGTTAACCTTGTTCAAATTTGTGTTTCATTCCGTACAATTTATCAAGATATAGTGGTACATCTGGCCCTGAATGCCCATCCAGCCTCAGGCCAGGAGTCCTGCCTCGCCTGTGGAGACCTGTCACTGGCCCACCGCTACTGTAGGTGGATGTCATCATGGAGGCCTTCATCCCCCCTGACCTGCAGAGCTGGGTCTTTGGGCATGACCTGGAGCCATCATGGCATCTGCCAAGACCCGCATTTACAAGCACTTCCTGGGCCTGGAGATGCGAGGGTTCACCACTGATGAGCCAAGCCCTCCCAATATATTTTTTCATCGCAGTAAGGACAGTAGAAGTTTTTATTATGTATAGAAGAAACATTCGTGCTTTTAAATTCTTTCATTTTATATGTATAGATGGCGCGTTATTGCTTTGTGTTAAGAAATTGTTTAAATTTTCAAAAGAATCATACGCGTCTATAATAGTTTCGAATTTTGATAACAGATGGCGCGCTAATGCATCATAATAAAGATATTATACATGAGAAGTCCTCATCTGTATCAAGGTGGTGGAACCTCCCTAGCTCCTAAATCATTGTATATACAGTTAAACCTGTCTATAGCGCTCCCTCTAAATAGCGCCCAATTTTAAATACGTAGTACGATTCGATTTACATTAAAAGTGAACTGTCTATAGCACCCCCTCTCTCTATAGCATCTTATTTTGGCGAGTCCCAAGAGACAGGTTTAACTGTATTCTCATTATTTTTAATTTAGTTGTTTAAAATGAATTATTGACTAGATGTCAATAAAAGTGTTTCAATCTCTCTGTAAATGTCATTCATTCCATTCTGTTAATTGTAGTTTTTTTCTTTTGAGCACATCACTTTTGTAAAATAAAAAGGCATCTTTTGGTATACTTTATCTCATAATCTTGTATTTTTCTATTAGGCTGAAATTATTGTGTACAGTGGTTTTTTTTTCTGTTTTCTACACACATAAGTGTGTAGCACCCCCTCAAAATAGCGCCCAATTTTAAATACGTAGTTCGATGCGATTTACATTAAAAGTGTCCTGTCTATAGCACCCTATTTTGGTGAGTCCCAAGAGGGGCACTATAGACAGGTTTAACTGTAATAACAGGACACAATATATAAAGAGTATATCCAATTACATTTAGCATTATACAGCTCACAAAGTATTGTCAGTTAGCCATTTGAAGTCAGTGTTGAAATACTCACAAACTCTGGCAGGCTGAAGGAGTGGGCCAGACAAAATGGTAGTTGCATTGGGCATCCTCATAGAGGAACTCTGGGGAGGAGATCTGCAAGTTTACACAGGTTAGAATAGAGTAACTCCGCTGGTCCCAAACCTGGATGTAAAGGGGAGCAGTAACAAGCTCACTAAAAAACCTGGGCTCAGCTGGCCCGGCTGATAGTACCCTGTAAGGTCTCCAGAGATACAGGATGAGCAGTGTTTGTACTCCATGTTAGGAGCGGCTGCACATGGTGTTTGTTCCTCATGTCAGAGGCGGCCATTTCTTTTGGAGCTAAGTCGGCCTGCCGCTGAGTAGTGCTCCCAGTCTTAATGACAAAGACAGACACATTCTACTTCACCCAGTCATGAATGATTGAGTGGAGATAAGAAAGAAGAAGAGAAATAAGGCTGTTAGACCTGTGACAGTATATGTAAGCAAACAGCCAATGTCAGAGGGTAACAAGACTATATAAACAATAATACAACTGTCAGGATGGCCGAGAGGTCTAATGTGCTGCGTTCAGGTCGCACTCTACTCTTTTAGGCGTGGGTTCGAATCCCACTTCTGACATTTTTTTGTCGGCCTGCCACTGAGTAGTGCTCCCAGTCTTAATGACAAAGGCAGACGCATTTTACTTTAACCAATCTTCCCCAGCAGACACCATCAACAAACTCTACAAGCTTGATACCCTGATATGATTGAGTGGAGATAAGAAAGAAGACTCATCCCCAGCAGACACCATCAACAAGCTCTACAAGCTTGATACCCTGATATGATTGAGTGGAGAAAAGAAAGAAGAAGAGAAATAGAGCTGTTAGACCTGTGACAGTATATGTAAGCAAACCATCTTTTGTCTTCGACAGCTACGACCCAGGTTCGATTCCCGCATTGGGCACTTTTTTCTGATAAAAATAAAAAATAATGTTCCAATGGCCCCCGATTCTTGCAAAAGTCCAACCCCACCAGCGAGTGCAAGTAACCAAACGGGGCTCTGGCACATTTGTAAGTGCAAAAGTCAAACTGCTTTTCACATGTGTAGACATGTGGTGCACTTACAGTAAAAGCTGTCACCTACTTCTACCCACCATGATTACAATGGCCTGTACTACATGTACTAGGGATAAGCAAAAAAAAAAACTTTATATATTTTTAAGAACTTTTTTCTTACAGAAACTTATCCCTGGAATGGTTTCACTTCAAGATATCCCTGAGAATAGAATTGTGGGATCTATCATTGAATAGATTATTTTTTAAAATACAAATGAGGATAGCAGAAAACACTTACGCTGGAATTTTGACATGGGAAATATATGGTGGACTTGACCACCCTGCCATTGGAACATTTATTTCTCCATTTCCCTGGCAATCTGGCCACCAGCATTCCTTTTGTGGCATCTGGGCAACAACACATGGCTCATCAACAACACTTGGGGCATCAACAACATACGGCAGAGACATTCTTGTCTAGAAATCCATTAATCAATCACAACACATCCAAATTCATTTATTACAAAGACTGATAAGGCACAATTTGGATTATTCTATATACAGTTACGAGCGTCATGCGTTCTTCATCTCTGTCACCGTTTGCTTTTTTTTTTTTGGAATGGCGCTCTCCTATTGGTTCGCTACGATGGCGTCGCCAATGCGCGAGACACTTTGTTTTTGACTTTGCCCCCCCACTCGCTTTTTGGTTTTTGTAACTATTGTGTTGGAGCGGGTCGCTCCTTAAATAAATGCATATATTAGTTAATAACCAAATGGAATCCTCTCTTTCTTTTTCCCTGTAAGAGACGCCTACGGAAGCCAACAGTAAATAGACAGATAAAGCACATAGGCTATAGTTATTAACTAAAATATGCATTTATTTAAGGTGCCAATTTATAAGTGTAACAAATAGTATTTGAATCAAAACATTCAATCCGGTAAAACACGGGCGTTGCCCGGGCCATTCGGCTAGTAGATTATAAACACATGGTAATAAGACCAAATCCAAATAAATAAATAGTGTGTGAGGTTTCGGTAACAGCATTGTTACCATCTTCAGACAAAAGTACTGAATGAGAAATTTTACCACAGTATTTTTAGAAAATTATCTTTTTCTTATCTGCTATCTTGTTTACACACTTGATAACTATTTACTGTGGTAAAATTTCTCATTCAGTACTTTTGTCTGAAGATGGTAACAACGCTGTTACCGAAACGTCACACACTATTTATTTATTTGGTCTTATTACCTTGTGTTTATAACCAAAGAACTTTATTAAACTTCAAATCTTATTTTATTGACGTTTTAATAATGTAAAATGTTTTCTCCCGTAGAAGGGCTTTCTTGCCCGAAAGCTTGAGAGATTCTTAAATAAGAATATTTAAAAAAAAATCTTTTCCCTGGAGGCTTAATGTTCTTATTTAAAAAATTATATCTATCAAAGATTTTATTAATTGTAGAATATTGGGGTCTTTAACTCCGCTTTTGCCGGTCCCAAGCCCGGATGAAAAAGGAGGAGAGGGAGCAGTAACAAGCCCACTAAAAAACCTGGGTTCAGCTGGCCCGGCTGATAGTACCCTGTAAGGACTCCAGGGATACAGGATGAGTTTGTACTCCATGTTAGATGGCTGTACATGGTGTCTGTTCCTCATGTCAGAGGAGGCCATTTATTTTGGAGCTAAGTCGGCCTGCCAGAAGATATTTAACGTGTGGTTTAGAGACAATGTTGTTCTCAACTATCTAAATATAATTTCCATGGTTGTATATAGTGTTGAGGACACAAACCTTGGCTCTCAGCGATGAACCTGAAGAAGGGCCGGCCCCCAATGTTGATTCTCCTCCTCTTGGTGACGATGCAGACACTGGCTTGATTACACATGCGGATCCCCTTTAGGTCAATGTTGAGAATTCTGTTCTTGCCCTTATCTACTAGGGCCACATTCCTGGGCACATAGAGAGTTTGTCCACTTTACATTTAGAGTAGAACAACCTCCATGGGAGGACACTCCCGCTAGAGGACACCTCTCTATAAAGGACAGATTTCATTTGCAAAATTACCATTTTTACTAAAAGAAAATAAGACCTAATCCAAATAATTTATTAGTGTATGACATTTCGGCAACAACGTTGTCACCATCATCAGACAAAAGAATATTAATCCATTTATTCTTTTGTCTGATGATGGTGACAATGTTGTTGCCGAAACGTCACACACTAATAAATTATTTGGATTAGGTCTTATTTTCTTTTATTATAATCTATAATCCAAATTGTGCTTTATCATACCATTTTTACTATTTAGCAACTCTCCAGTAAAAGGACATCTCTCTCTAAAGGACACTTTGGCTCTGAAATTAGGTGTTGTCCTTTACTAGAAGGTTCTACCAAGACAATTTGATCCACTATCTATTCCATTGCCTATTCCTACATGAAAAGAGACTGGAAATTCGCAAAATATCGGGGCCAACTCACTACAATGAACAACATGTATGTAAAATCTTCACTACTCTCCTGTTGGATAAAACATTTGTTTATAAATATTTTAAATATTTCAAGGCGATTGATAAAATGAGGGAAGAAGTGCTCAACTCCACAGACAACGGCTGATTGCTCCCCCTCCCCTCTAAATTGCTTTTCCTCCTCACTCATGTACATATATAACCTTTTAGGGGAATCCCCTTGTAAGACAATAGTGTCTTAATAAAGGTTTTTGTTGTTGTTACTAGAAGGTTCTACTGTACATATCTACAAGAAAATAAGACCTAATCTACAAAAAATTAATAGTGTGTCACGTTTCGGCAACAGCGTTGTTACCATCATTAGGCAAAATAATAAATACATTAACATTTACATACATATTAAAGGCCGCCATTCCATTTTAGAGAATAATAAAACCCTTTAAAATTAATTAGGAAAAACACTAAAACTCTTTGAGAAAATAAAAAAAAAGGTAAATTATAGATGTGAATACAGTAAAGCTCCCTGTAAAGGACACCTAATTTCAGAGCCAAAGTGTCTTTTAGAGAGAGATGTCTTCTTACCGGAGAGTTGCTACAGTAGAACCTCCCTGTAAAGGACACCTAATTTCAGAGCCAAAGTGTCTTTTAGAGAGAGATGTCTTCTTACTGGAGAGTTGCTACAGTAGAACCTCCCTGTAAAGGACACTTAATTTCAGAGCCAAAGTGTCTTTTAGAGAGAGATGTCTTCTTACTGGAGAGTTGCTTGAGTAGAACCTCCCTGTAAAGGACACCTAATTGCAGAGCCAAAGTGTCCTTTAGAGAGAGATGTCTTCTTACTGGAGAGTTGCTACAGTAGAACCTCCCTGTAAAGGACACCTAATTTCAGAGCCAAAGTGTCCTTTAGAGAGAGATGTCTTCTTACTGGAGAGTTGCTACAGTAGAACCTCCCTGTAAAGGACACTTAATTTCAGAGCCAAAGTGTCCTTTAGAGAGAGATGTCTTCTTACTGGAGAGTTGCTACAGTAGAACCTCCCTGTAAAGGACACCTAATTTCAGAGCCAAAGTGTCCTTTAGAGAGAGATGTCTTCTTACTGGAGAGTTGCTACAGTAGAACCTCCCTGTAAAGGACACTTAATTTCAGAGCCAAAGTGTCCTTTAGAGAGAGATGTCTTCTTACTGGAGAGTTGCTACAGTAGAACCTCCCTGTAAAGGACACCTAATTGCAGAGCCAAAGTGTCCTTTAAAGAGAGATGTCTTCTTACTGGAGAGTTGCTACAGTAGAACCTCCCTGTAAAGGACACCTAATTTCAGAGCCAAAGTGTCCTTTAGAGAGAGATGTCTTCTTACTGGAGAGTTGCTACAGTAGAACCTCCCTGTAAAGGACACTTAATTTCAGAGCCAAAGTGTCCTTTAGAGAGAGATGTCTTCTTACTGGAGAGTTGCTACAGTAGAACCTCCCTGTAAAGGACACTTAATTTCAGAGCCAAAGTGTCCTTTAGAGAGAGATGTCTTCTTACTGGAGAGTTGCTACAGTAGAACCTCCCTGTAAAGGACACCTAATTTCAGAGCCAAAGTGTCCTTTAGAGAGAGATGTCTTCTTACTGGAGAGTTGCTACAGTAGAACCTCCCTGTAAAGGACACCTAATTTCAGAGCCAAAGTGTCCTTTAGAGAGAGATGTCTTCTTACTGGAGAGTTGCTACAGTAGAACCTCCCTGTAAAGGACACTTAATTTCAGAGCCAAAGTGTCCTTTAGAGAGAGATGTCTTCTTACTGGAGAGTTGCTACAGTAGAACCTCCCTGTAAAGGACACCTAATTGCAGAGCCAAAGTGTCTTTTAGAGAGAGATGTCTTCTTACTGGAGAGTTGCTACAGTAGAACCTCCCTGTAAAGGACACCTAATTTCAGAGCCAAAGTGTCTTTTAGAGAGAGATGTCTTCTTACTGGAGAGTTGCTACAGTAGAACCACCCTGTAAAGGACACTTAATTTCAGAGCCAAAGTGTCTTTTAGAGAGAGATGTATTCTTACTGGAGAGTTGCTACAGTAGAACCTCCATGTAAAGGACAACACCTAATTGCATAGTCAAAGTGTCCTTTAGAGAGAGGTGTCCTCTTACCAGAGAGT